CGCCCGGCATCCCGTCCCGGGGAGCACCGGCCGAGCCGCTGAGGGCGCTCCGAGCCCGGCCCCGATCCCGGTCCCGATCCCGGCTCCGATCCCAGTCCCGATCCCGATCCCGGCCCCGATCCCGATCCCGACGGGACGGCGGAACACGTGGGGCCTGTCCCCGCAGTGCTCATGCGAGCGGGGTGAGCGCCTGCTGCCCAGGTACCCTCTTGGGAGGTCGTGATTGTGGTCTTAGGGAGGGAAGGACTTCCCAAACTTTCTCAGTGTTTTTGCTTCCGCGTTTAAGCAGTCGCACCTTCCCATCTCACTCGGAGTTTCACCGGAGTTAAACTTTCAGTCGCCGCGAACGTGCAGGTTAGAGTGCGGGTACCAGTTGTTAGGAAACAGACGAAGTATTAGTGTGTCGCCTCATCTAGTTTACCTAAGGAGTCAATTTCGTTTCTTTGAAAGAGGATGTTTTACCGGCTTGATACATGTCTTACATGTTTTGTCTGTTTCACATACACAGTGTAAGTGATCGGCAGTCTGGGATCGTCCGAAATTCCCGGCTGGCTGTGAGGAAATGAAGGTTAGGATGTCCTGCCTTGGACTGCGAAATCTTCTCCAAGGGCTGAGCTTCAGTGCCAAGTATTGTGCTAAGCACAACCATCTTCAAACAGCGTGTCCTTACAGTAAAATAAAACCAAGAAAATGCCACATCCTGCACTGTTCAGGATGCACACACTGGGCTGTGCCACCTGGGAGCATCCTGCCACAGAGATTCTTTTCCTGCAAGGTATGCTGTTTAACTATAGACTTAATGTCAACAACCACCTTGGCACATCTGTTAAGGAAGGCACTCATACTTCCTTTTTTTTTTTTTGGTTGACTTTCCTGCTGTAGTAATTTTGGAAAAATTGGTGTCTTCCAGAAGGATACAGGTAAAGTGTCAGGAGAAAACTGCAGGGACAGATCAGCTACTAGAGAGGCAGAGTTCCAAACTGCTGACACCAGACTCAGCTGCTGTGAGCTGGCTCAAAACAGCTTGACTTTTTCTGTGCTGACCAGTAAGCCATGGTTTACACTATGTTAAGTACTGACATATGTTATTGACTTCATAATTGTATTCACATGTGATAAACTATACTTTAAAATGTATTTGCCTTGATTTCTGTAGGGTAATACTGTGTAATTGTGTGGCACTATATCATGCACCGAGCCAGAAAATGGTCTGAAATAATTCTGTTCCAGATTTTGCTAAAGCTATTATAAAAGTTTACTTCAGTATGACAGCCTGGAAACTGATTTATATGTATAATGCATAAGTAGTGTTTGAAAAGATTTGTGCTTTGGTTTATTTTACCTTAAATCTGTTTTCAGATGGATGTGTGGTGATTCTGAAACTGTTTCTTCGGGGTGACCCAAAGATCACCTTGTTGTAACCCTCTTATTTGTCACGATAATGTAAACAGTTCCTAAGTCTTGTGTCTCAAATGTAAACAAAATGTTTCAAGGAGAATGCACAGAATCTGGATGGATGGGAACTTGTGGTACAGTTTATTCATTGGCACTTCACTAGCACAGCTACAAACACTGGCCTGTGACACTGGGGCCAGGACACAAACAGGTGGTTTTCACCTGAAAGGAAACTGTGCCTGTTTGCTTTGGAGCAAATGTTTGCAAACTCTGCTGTCCTGAAAATCTCTTTAGATTACTGGTTTTCCCGATGCAGGGGGTTGTACAGTAACTGATATATTGCTACACTGTGACCACCAGCTGTATATACTGCTTCCAAATAAATACAATGGGAACTGTTGTAAACCAAAGAAAGGCAATCATCAAAAGATTCATAACATGTGGAACTTGCCAAAATAAGTTGTGGGTGCCAAAATTTTACATAGGTATAAGGGGAGATAATACATATATAAGAGACTTTTTAAATATCCAGAAACCGCGTTCAGCTCAGGAAATTCCTGAGCTAAAATCATTGAAAGCTGAGGGAATACCTGTTAGGGAAAATAATCTGTGCTTGTCCCATTCTTATGCTTTCCTAAGTATCTGTTTATGGTCACTGTGAGGTTTTTATTTGGTTGCAGTTTTTTCAGTGGCTGGGGAGGTGGTACAGCTTAGGCATCCTGCAGTTTCTTTACCCTGACCAATTACACAGTTGCTCCAGAGCTTCTCTAAGGGCTTTAATGATTTCTTTGCCTTGTGCTTCCAATTTGATGTACCAGGCTACAGGGACCATTTGTCTGAATGAGTAACAAACACTCTGAACACACATCAATGATGTGTGTGTGTTCGTAGGGGCTTTGGTCACTGGAGCAGAGTTTCTTTTCCTTTCAAAATCTACTTGTAACGTTCACATTGTGGATCACATGCATTTGTGAAGACAAACTAGGAACAAACCAACAGTTTATGGTGCAAAGTGAGGATGAGGTGTAAAGCATAGGCTGCTTTTTAAGCTTAGACACATTCACATCATGCATTAAATGTAACAAAATGCTACTATATGTGATCTGTGCAGTGTTATGTACTGTAATGTATGTTGTTAAGCTTATTTGATCAAGTGAGATTTCACAGCATGCAGGAGGAAGTAGCATTGTTGTAGCAATTTTAAGACATTTCTATCACAGAAGACAGCTTCGTTGGCAGTGAGGTAGCAGTAGTCTGCTCACAGATCATGGAAAACCAGATCCTAAACCGAGTCCTGATAAAATTGCTGCAGAACCTGTATCGGTTCAGTGCTTCACTTCATTCTGCAGCTTATGAACGTTTATATTAACTCTTTTGAGGAGATGGAGCAAGAACCTGAACAAGGACTCAGATACTGGGATAAGTGTGGGTGGCATTGTTGTCTAGGAAAGGAAATGAGAAATTACAGTCTAAAGACAGGAAATTATGAGAGAACACCTGTGAAGAAGGAAAAATAATAGAATTCCATAAAAATTAACTAAAGCCTAGTTCTAGAACAAAACCAAACATATTTACTTATCATTAATTAAGAGCATACACTAACAGTGCACCAAATTTTGAAGAGAAGACCTCATCGAATGTGTCAAGTAAAGCACGTGACAATGCTTCTCCAAAAGATCAGGAAGAATTACAATAAAAACATATACTAACTGTGGGTTTTCTTTTTAATGGCACATACTATTGTAATAATGCAAAGTTGGTTTTGGGTCTGTGGCTGAGGAAATATTGCCTCGATATGTTCATATCGGTGTACAGTGTGCTGGCTTGTAACCATTGTTGTCTTTTGTTACTTAGCAGGAAGGAACAGAAATCCCTTCCAAAAGCAAGCAGAATACATCCATAGTAACATCAGAGCTTTTGTACAAGAATCTAATGAAATCAGAGCAGGAAAACTGGAATGACATTTCACCAATGTACAAAGCTATGACAAAGAGAATCAGAGAAAAACTAGAAGAACTGCACAACAAGTATATGTTCAGTTCAGGAAGCCCAAGGGTAAGTGACAAAAAGTACAAGCATTTCCCATCACTGACTACAAATAAAAGGCACTGAAGCCATTCCT